TCAGTTGTGGAGCTTGAACTCTGAGCCTGGGCACTGTCCCTCATCTCTTCAGCTCAAGGCAAACACTCTACCACTTGAGCCACAGTGCCACTTCCTGTTTTCAGGTGGTTTATGAGAGAGAAGAATCTCACAGACTTTCCTGCCAAGGCTGGCTTTGAACCATGATCCTCAGATCTCAACCTCTTGAGTAGCTAGGATTATAGTAATGAGCCACTGCACCTGGCCTGTGATCCTGTCTTTAAGAAAATTTAGGAATTTCTGGCCTGGGAAGGTGGCTCAGTGGTAGAGTGCTTGTCTTGTATGCATGAGGCCCTTGGGTTTGATTCCTCAACACCACATAAGCAGAAAAAGCTGGGAGTGGGCACTGTGGCTCAAGTGGTAGAGTGCTAGCCTTGAACTGAAGAGCTGGGGGACTGCACCCAGGCCCAGGCCCAGGCCCCACAACCGACCAAAAAAAAAAAAAATTCAGAATTTCTGACTTTAGAGGACATGGGACCAGAGTTATGTAAATTTTCAAATTAGGAGAGAGGATTCTATCCATCTCTAACAGTGGCAGTGGATGGGCATAAATGGAACCCTGATTCTGGGACAGGCTAGGAGGGGAGAAGGACAATAGAGTATGGATTCCTAAGAGTGAGACTTTGTTTCCAGGGGAGAAAGGCATTTGTAGTGTCCCAGCTGACCCTGTGTTTTTCCAGGTGGCTGCATTGATGACACCATCCTCAGCAGGCAAGGCTTCATCAACTACTCCAAGCTGCCCAGCCTACCCCTGCTGCAGGGCGAACTGGTAGGAGGGCTCACCCTTCTTGTAGTCCAGACCCATTCCCTGCTTCAGCACCAGCCTGTGCAGCTGACTGCCCTGATGGATCAGTACATCAGACAACAACAAGAAGATTCTGTCACACCAGCCAATGGGAAGCCAGATCCTCCTGATCCTGCTCCGGACTCCTAGCCAGTCCATTTTACCTAGCCTTGCACATAAATACACTCTGCCCTTATTGGTTGTGCTGTCCTCCATTGGAGATGTGGAAGAATTTGGGGTGGGAAAGTGGTATGCATGACTTGGATTCCACTCATGATCACCTCCTCAGATACAGGACCACTTGGAGATGCAGAGGAATTCTCTTTCAAAATAGAAGCATCCCTGAGCTTTATTTTCTTAACCTGGGACCTGAAAGGGGAAGTTTCCCAGGCATCTTGCCCTGACCCTCTTGTCCCCCTGTGTTTCCCAACCCACCCCACAACCTCAACAATGGTTGACCTGATAATTGGGCTAACAATGACTCATTAGCAGCCTTCCTTGTGCTGGGCCTCATGCTAAACGTAGCCGAGACATTCAGTGCCTTGTGAAAGGTCAGTGACAGAATGGGGACTTGAAGCAGACACTGCTTTGAAGCCCTGACCATCCACACTAGAGCTTCCTCATTAGATTATCCAGAAATGGGTCCCTGATAGATTCCACTTTTGGGGTATGCTGTGTTGCACAGCTTTGTGACAAATTGAAATGCATTTTGTTTCTGTCATCTCTCACTTTTCCTACTTCCTATAAAATCCTCTTCCCTTGTATCAGTCACACAAATGGCATCTCTTACATGCTTGTTCCTTTGTTGTTAGTTGGAGCTTAAACTCAAGGCCTGGGCCTTGTTCCTGAGCTTTATAAAGACTAATTCTCTACCACTTTGAACACAGCACCACTTTCAGTTTTCTGATGGTTAATTGGAGATAAGAGTCTCATGGAGCCAGGTGCAGTTGGCTCACGCCTATAATCCTAGCTACTCAGGAGGCTGAGATCTGAGGATCTCAGTTCAAAGCCAGCTAGGACAGGAAAGTCCGTGAGACTCTTATCTCCAAAACCACTAGAAAACGGGAAGTGGCAAAAAAAAAAAAAAAGAGTCTCATGGACTTTCCTGCCTGGGCTGGCATTGAAACACGATCCTCAGATCTCAGCCTCCCAGTAGCTTGGATTACAGACGTGAGCCACCCAGCTTATGCTCATGTGTGCCCAGTAGCTAATATGTCTCACGTGGGTCTGCACAAAAGGACTAGGGGAGCTAGGAGTCTTTGTAATGGGAGGCTTTGGTATCCATCAGAGTAGGAGGCCTGCCCCCAAGCTTTTCTTTTATTCAATTTTTAAAAATTGAGGCTGCAATTTAGCTCATTGGCAAAGCATCTGCCTAGCATGTGTAACATCCTGGTTTGGATCCCCAGTACCAAAAAATAAAAGACAAAAAAAAATACGATTAAAAAAATTGTTATTGGGCTGGGAAGGTGGCTCAGTGGTAGGGCGTTTGCCTTGCATGCTCAAGGCCCTGGGGTCGATTCCTCAGTACCACATAAGCAAAAAGAAAAAAGCCGGAAGTGGGCGCTGTGGCTCGGGGACAGCACCCAGGCCCAGAGTTCAGGCCCCACGACTGGACCCAAAAAAAAAAAAAATTTATTGTAAAGGTGTACAGAGGGGTTACAGTTACATAAGTCAGGTAAAGAGTACATTTCTTAGCCGGGTGCTGGTGGCTCACTCCTGTAATCCTAGCTACTCAAGAGGCTGAGATCTGAGGATCATGGTACAAAACCAGCCTGGGCAGGAAAGTCCGTGAAAATCTTTTTTTTGTTTGTTTTTTTGGTTATTTATTTATTTTGGTCAGCCATGGGCCTGAACTCTGGGCCTGGGTGCTATCTCTCAGCTCTTTAGCTCAAGGCTAGCACTCTACCACTTGAGCCACAGTGCCACTTCTGGCTTTTTCTGCTTATGTGGTGCTGAGGAATTGAACCCAGAACCTCATGCATGCAAGTCAAGCACTCTACCACTAAGCCACCTTCTCAGTCCCTCCGTGAAAATCTTATCTCCAATAAACCACCAGAAAACAGGAAGTGGCACTGTAGCTCAAGTGGTAGAGTGCTAGCCTTGAGCTGAAGAGCTGAGGGACAGCACCCAAGCCCAGAGTTCAAGCCCTGCGACTCGGGGGGAAAAAAAAAAAAGTACATTTCTTGGCTGGGTGCCAGTGGCTCACACTTGTAATCCTAGGTATTCAGGAGGCTGAGATCTAAGGATTGCAGTTCAAAGCCAGCACCCCAAGAAAGTCCATGAGACTCTTACCTCCAGTTAACCACCAGAAAACCGGAAGTGGATCTGTGGCTCAAAGTGGTAGAGTGCTAGCCTTGAGCTGAAGAGCTCAGGGACAGTGCCCAGGCCCAGAATTCAAGTCCCACAACTGACAAAAAAAAGTACATTTCTTTTTGGACAATGTCACTTCTTCCCTCATGCTCTCCCATTTTTCCCCCTCCCATCCTATCCGCAAGTTGTATAGTTCATTTTCAATGTAGAGTCTAGTGACTACCATTGCTGCATTTGTTCACCCTTTGTCCTATTAATGTGGTGTCCCCCCCACTTACAGTCTCCACCCCCCCCCCAAGTCTTAGAGAACCAGCAGCTCCTTATAAAGGAGCTGATGTTGAGCTACTGGCCTGCCATTTGTCCTTGAGAGCACATCCTAGGTAGATCCTGTGGTGAATTAGGAGAGTTCTTCAGCATTCCTTGTGGGACTTGGAGCCATGCCCCAGTGTCCTTAGTCCTGGACAGACACTGTCTGGCAGTAAGATTTGCAATGATTTTTCCATGGCTTGAGCCAGGCCCAGCTTCCCACAGTGCCCAACTCTGTAGGTGTCCAAGGATGCTCAATCACTGTGAAGTGAATTAAAAGGCCCTCTGAGGCTCCCAGATGCCAGCGTTGGTCTGCCCAGTGCTGCTTAGTGGTTCTCCCTGCCTCCTGAACTCTGCTGGATACACGTGGCACCCTCCCCTAGAGGCTGGAGCAGTCCTGGGGTTCTGAATGGAGCCAGGAGAGCAAGCGACTCAGTGATGCAAAAGACCTTTGACCATGACCAATACTGCGTGGAGGCAACAAGCATCATACCATCACCTCCTGGTGCCAAAGTCCCACCACAAAAACTCAAAAGCATCTTTTTTTTTTTTTTTTTTGAGGGGAGGTCTGGTCCTAGGGCTTGAACCCAGGGCCTGGGTGCCATCTCTGAACCTTTGTGCTCAAGGCTAGTGTTCTACCCACTTGAGCCACAGTGCCACTTCTGGCTTTTTCTGAGTCGATTTTTGGAGATGGGAGTCTCATGGACTTTCCTGCCCTGGCTGGCTTTGAACCGTCGTCCTCAGATCTTCAGTAGCTAGGATTACAGGTGTGAACCACCAGCTCCTAGCTTCAAAACATCTTTTGAAAAAAAAAAAAGGTGTGTGGGGGGGAGTGATTTGTTGCACTTAAAGCTATCCATTTGAATGAATTCTAGATCTTTTTTGGGCCAATTTTCACACTTGGGCAACTGAACACAGTACTCCAGCAGAAATATAAATGTGCCCAGAAGTGAAGGGACCCAAGTTAGCTTTCCTTTCTAACAGCCGGCTGGTGACTGGCCCATACCTGTCCCCCTTCTAGAGACTCAGTGCCCTGGAGTTTTGTTTTACTACTTGGGCATTTCCAGACCCCCACAGACCTTCCCCTCAATGAGCAGCCTCTGCAGGGCTGCAGGCCATCTCTACCTCCTGCCCTGATTGCCCTGCTGACTTGGCTCCTGGCACCGTGGTGTAGAAGGGGGAGTAGGGCGGCATCTGACCCTTCCCATCAACCAGATCACCTCTGCAGCTGAATTTTATAGTCTATTTCAGATGTAAAATGAGACACCAGGGTCAATAAGGAAATGGCCTTGGGCACTCCCTGGGGGCGAGTTCATACTAGGTAGAATAAATCCTATAGCACCACTGGCTGGTGGCCTGCAAGTATCAGTCCTCTGATCTGTCTGGAACCCTGCTGTGATGACTGTGGTCCCCCCCCCACCTCATTCCCAAGCCACTCCGGTGGTTGAGCCCTGAGTCCTCCCGGGAGCAGGGGGGCAGAGCTGAGCGGCTGCCCGGAGCTTGGCGGGAGGAGGCGACGGGGGAGGGGCAGGTGGGGAGATCCGGCTGGAGGGGAGGCTCCGACGTCTCCTTCCTTCCTGGTTCCTGCAGCAGCAGCAGCAGCAGCCACAGCAGCTGCCACTGCTCAGCTCTGTGCGAAGGTAGCCGGGTGACTCGGAGACAGTGACTCAGAGGCAGAGCGGGCCAAGGAGCACGGGCGTCCATGGACCTTGGGGTAAGGGGGCCAGGCTGGCACTGCCTGCCACTCCCCGGGAGGGCCTCCTACCTAGAACTGGAGAGTCTACTTATCTGGAGACAGGGCTGGGAATGGAGGTAGCAGGAGATTGCCCACCTGGCTTAACTCCTTTCCGCTGACACTCGCCTCACCCTCCCACATCCCTTCTCCCACCTCCCTGCAGGCAGCCCTGGGGACCAGGACAAGGGCATCGAGATTCCCAAACACCAGAAGAGTTTAGCAACTTTCAGTGGCCGATTGCAGGAGTTCTCCCTCGGGTCAGCCTGGACCCCCGTGCTGTGACCTCCTGGCCACCCTTAGCCTGCCAACTGCTATGTCCTGTCCCTTTCCCATTCCTGCCTCAGCTCCTCAGGTGCTCCCTAGGCACTGATCAGGAGATCTGAGCTGCTTCCCCAGCCCCGGGCCAACCTCGCCCCTCCAGTCCCCTCCCCCAGCTCTCTCTCTCTCACACACACACAGCCTCATGCATTATTGATATCCCAGTGGAGCCAGGATGGCCAGGGCCCGTGCCAAAGGCGCCTGTGGGCATTGCTGCGGGACCTGGGCAGACCTCTGGGTGTTCTTGGCCACTTCTTCTCCCACCCACATTGTCTATCAGCCAGTGTTCTGCGCTCTCTGGGTGGGAGTTACTTCTCAGGAGCCACAAGGACTGGGGTCATAGAAAACAGATGGTGGAGCTTTGAGGATAATTGAGGGTCCAAGGAGGGGATCTTAGAGGTAGGCTCAGTGGGGAGAGACAAAGGGGGTGGGGAGATAGGAGTTGTCCCCATGCAAAAAAAGGGGTGCCCAAGAACTAGAAGCTATGGGGTTCAGTTGGTGAGAATCTGAGGGGTTCTTTGCAAGGTAATTGTGTCACCAAGCCATAGTGGTGGGGCATGGGGGTCCTGGAGGAAGAGGCAGCTGGATTGATGAGTTCTTGCCTGCTCAGTCTCTGAGTTCTATCTCTTCTTGGAGACCAGCTCACCTCTGGATTCCCACCCCCCCCCCAAACCCCCAACCAAGGAATCCTAAGAAAACACCAATTGTTTCCTGGAGCCCCAGGGTAGGTTCCTAAGGTGGAGTGGGCCATGTTTCTGAGGTTTCCATCATTCTGTCTGCCTGCCCTGATCTTGGTTTGTGGGTAAGGATCTGTGATAGCTGGGTCTGTGTTCAAGCGGTCTCTCTCTTGCTTCTAGGCCCTTCCCCAAACAAGGTGACATCCTTTACTTTCCACTCAGCTGTACCTGCCTCTTCCATGGACTTCCAAGAGAGAGACAGCCCTTCCCTGGCTGAGAGTACTCAGTCCTCAAAGCCCAGCAGTGCCCAACAGGTCTGAGCAGGGAACACCAATGGGTGGGCCTTGTTTGGGGTCCAGGTAGAAGAGGGTAGATGTGGTGGGCTCATCAGCAACTGCCCTCTCTGCAGACCTCTGAACTGTGGGAGGTGGTAGAGGAGCCTCGGGGCAGGCTGGGAACAGAAGGCATCATGCCTGAGAGGCAGGAAGGCCACCTGCTCAAGAAGAGGAAGTGGCCTCTGAAGGGCTGGCACAAGGTAGGGTGACAGGGCAAGGGGAGGGGCCACGTGTGGGAGGCTGCTAGACTGCTCTGGTGTTTGTGTATGGAAAAGAAAAGTCTGTGTGTTTGCTCTCTCCCCACCCTGTCCTCTCGGCTACACCTTCCCATCCCTTCTGGGCAATGTCACAGAGGTACTTTGTGCTCGAGGATGGGATCCTGCACTATGCTACAACCAGGCAAGACGTAAGTCAGGGCCCTGTCTCAAGGGGTGTGAGAGGAGTCTTTTCCAGAATGCTCTGAGCAGGCTGGGGGCGGGGGGTAGGGGGAGAGGGAGGGAGGGGTAGGGGATTCTAGAATCAGCCAGAGCAGGGTATGAATCCTGGGGTACACTATTGGCATTTTATATTTGGCTCTCTGTATCCTCTGGCTTTCCAACTTGCAGACTCAACCAACTGTAGATCAAAAAGAAAAAAAAAATCATATAAGAGCAGGAAAGGTGGCTCAGTGGTAGAGTGCTTGCCTCGCATGCACAAGGCCCTGGGTTCGATTCCTCAGCACAGAAAAAAAGCCAGAAGTGGTGCTGTGGCTCAAGTGGTAGGGCACTAGCCTTGAGCTGAAGGGCTGAGGGACAGTGCCCAGACCCAGAGTTCAGCCCCTATGACTGACAAAAAAAAGTCATATATATATATATATATATATATATATATAATAAAATATATATTAACTTGCATCTGTACTGATTATATAGTTTCTTCTTGACACTATTCCCCAAACAAGCTAATATTTACAACTGTTTACATAGCATATACACAATATTAAGTAATATATGTAATCTAGAGGTGACTTAAAGGGCTCAGAGGAGGATGCATGGGTTTTATGCAAATACTACTCTTTATATAAGGGTCTCTCTCGAGTGTCCATGCATTTCTGTATCTTCATGCATCCTAGAACTCTGCCCCTGAGGATACTAAGACACAGCTACATTCCCTGGGTGTCAGCATCCTCCCCATAAGACAAGGAGCATGCTTGCACACGTATAAAGTTGTTACCATGGGCACTGGGGAAAGACTGCACTGCAGGCTCTCTGGAATGTTCCTGGGTACCAACTAAGTGCCCAAGGAATGGGAGTTTTCTCACTCTGCTCCTTGTCCCCATTCTCGTGCTGGGAATAAGGAGCAAGGCTGTACTCCCAGATTTCCTCCAGGTGTTGTGTCCTTCTTATGCTGTGCAGATCCTTGCCCTGTGGCTTCCTAGAGCTCAGCAAGAAGCTGAATATAATAGAACATTGTGTATACAGGAAATAATTGACAATGCCCTTCTAGTGGGACTTGGACTTGAGGGTGAATTGCTGTCTGGCCCTTGAACCTAGAGGGGCCTCAGGGAGTTCTATAGCCTTGGGAACCTAAAATCAACTCCTGTCCTCTACTAATCCTCCACCCCAGATCACCAAGGGGAAACTCCATGGCTCCATTGATGTCCGGCTGTCGGTCATGTCCATCAACAAAAAAGCTCAGCGCATTGACCTTGATACGGAGGACAACATCTACCACCTCAAGGTAACACCTAAGATCCAGGAAGTGTTTGCTTACCATCCTGGCAAAGGTCTGTGGCACAGGCCCAGAGACTCAGGATCTGAGGGCCTCAGGATCTTTTCCTAAGTTGTCAAAGAGAAAGTTGCCATCATAAAACAGTCAAAGGCAGATCCACCCTGTTAACTTTTATGTGAAGAGACAGAGCCAAGGGCTCAGGCACTTGAGATGTTGTGCTCTGCAAGCCTGCAGGAGGGAAGGGGTTGTGCAAACTAACAGAGAGAACCCCTCTTGCCTGGGGAACCAGAGCCCCAAATTCTTGCTCCTGGAAAGTAGACCCTCTCTTTAGATATTGCTCCTTTTCTCCAACACTTCTACAGATCAAATCCCAGGACCTTTTCCAAAGCTGGGTGACCCAGCTCCGTGCCCACCGCCTGGCTCAGCGCTTAGACATGCCCAGCACTGCTCATCGGAAGGTAGGATGGGCCCCAGCATGAGATGTGGCAATTCAGGATGGTGGTTGGGGGGAATCTGTGAGACCAGGGGAGGTGGACACCATCCTTCCTGACCCTTGCTTGGTTCACCCACAGGTTCCTGGCACCCAACTTCTAACAACGAGTAGTGCCTCAGCCCTACCTGGTGTTGGACCTCGAGAGAAGGTGTCTTCCTGGCTGAGGGACAGTGATGGCCTAGACCGCTGCTCTCACGGTAAGGGTTCTAGGCCAGTACCTGTGTGGGGAAAGCCTAGGCTGTTGGTTCTAGGTAGCATCAGAACGACAGGAAGCCCCAGTCTGATGGTAGAGATACTTCTACCTCCAGGATGATCAAGTCTCCTTGGTGGACCCTCCCCTAAGGGGCCTGGATCTTATAGGGGAAAAATAGGACTTCTACCAGGCACATAGATAGACAGACCAGGGCCAGCCTCCTGACAAAGATACTCAATGCTATTGTGGGCAAAAGTCCAGGGAGAAAGTGCGCTTTAGAATTCAGTCCCATAGACTGGGAAGGTGGCTCAGTGGTAGAGTGCTTGCCTCACATACATGAGGCCCTGGGTTGGATTCCTCAGCAGCACATAAACAGAAAAGGCTGGAAGTGGTGCTGTGGCTCAAGTGGTAGAGCACTAGCCTTGAGCTGAAGAGCTGAGGGACAGCGCCCAAGCCCAGAGTTCAAGCCCTATGACCGACAAAAAAAAAAAAAAAAAAGAATTTGGTTCCAGCAGTACAAGACTGACCTGTTGGCCCTGGGAGGGAAATGCACAGCAAGAGCAGGAGAGTGGAAGGGTACCTGGTCGGTGCACAGGGAATAGAGATGAAAATGGTCTACAGAGATGGAGCTTCAGGCCTCCCAGAAAGGCAGAGGAGGCCTGCAAGGCCTAGAAGGGAGGGGAGCAGTGTGAGGATTTCTTTGGCTGCTGGTGACATCTTTGGAGGAAGAAGGAAGCCATGGGACAGATTGGGATCCCTGGCTGGTAGTAAGAGAGCAACATCCTCCTCTCTTCTCCCCCAGCTCTCTCGGAGTGTCAGGGGAAGCTGCAGGAACTACACAGACTCCTCCAGAGCCTAGAGTCCCTGCACCGAATCCCCTCAGCCCCTGTGATTCCTACACACCAGGTAGGGGCCAGGGTTGAGGCCGGGGCTGCCCAGGGCCCCTCCTCAGCTACTTCTCAGATAGACCTTCATTTCTCTCCCTATCACTGTCTTTCTTTCCTTCCTTCCTTCCTTTCTTTTTTCTTTTCTTTTCTTTTTTTGTCAGTGGTGGGGCTTGAACTCAATGCCTGGGTGCTGTCCCTGAGTCTGTTCAAGGCCAACACTTTTCCATTTTGAGTCACAGCTCTACTTCTGGATTTTAGGTGGTTCCTTGGAAATAAGAGTCTTCTAGAAAAAAAAAAAAGAGTCTTACTGCTTTTCCTGCCCAAGCTACCTTTGAATCTCCATCTTTAGCCTCCTAAGTAGCTAGGATTACAGGCATGAGCCACCAGCACCCGTCTCACTGTGGTTTTCTGAAGAGCCACTCACTGCTTAGATGCCTCTCTCCTGGGACTTCCTGTGGACACACCTCCCCGAGGGTGCCATACCCTATGTACCTGGGGTCACCTGTGTTGTCCTCCATGCCTTTTCTGAGCGTGGCTGGCTACTGCCGGTCAAATGCAATTATCCTGATCTCAACCTGCCAGGCCTCTGTGACAACAGAGAGACCCAAGAAGGGAAAACGGACCAGTCGCATGTGGTGTACACAGAGCTTTGCCAAGGACGACACCATTGGACGGGTGAGGTGGGGTGTGAGCCCCAAGTTGTGGGGTGGGGTGCCCTGGAGGAGATTGTAGCTTCACCTATTCCCTTTACCTACAAGGTTGGTCGTCTCCATGGCTCTGTTCCCAACCTGTCCCGCTACCTGGAGTCTCGAGACTCCTCAGGTCCCCGTGGGCTGCCACCTCCAGACTATGCCCACCTGCAGCGTAGTTTCTGGGCCCTGGCTCAGAAGGGTGAGTGTACACCGGAGGTGGGGGGACAGAGAGGAATGGGAGGACAAGGGCCAGGAGTCTGATGGCCTGCTTTCCCCGGACAGTCCACAGCTCCCTCAGCAGCGTCTTGGCGGCCCTCACCACTGAACGGGACCGACTGAGGGACCTGCACCAGGGCTCAGAGCTGTCAAGGATGGGGGTGAGCCTTGGTGGGGGGGGGTCTTGGTCAGAGGGAGGGCTCCAGGCAGAGGACTTCGGTCCCAGATCCTATAGCAGGTCTGCACCTGGGCTGAGAAGACGGCACAGGCGGACCCTGGGGAGGTGAAAGTGGCGGATTGGGAAGGACTTTAGCCTCTGACCACTGTCCTCTCATCCTCTGCCTCAGGTCTCCGAGGCTCCAGCTGGGCAGAGACGCCTGCACTCTCTGTCTATCTCCTCAGATACCACCGCGGACTCCTTCAGTTCCCTCAATCCTGAGGAGGTAAGGAGCAGGGTGACTGAAGGGGTCATTTTTCTGGTTCTATTTTTCCTGGCAGGAGTGAAGGTCTGGGTGGTTAAAAAAAAAAAGTTATTTTTAGTCCTGAAATAGCTGAGATAGGTCGGGCACTACTGGCTCATGCCTATAATCCTAACTACTGAGGAGGCTGAGATTGTGGTTTGAAGCTGGCCCAGGCAGAAAAGTCTGTGAGATTTGTGTCTCCAGTTAACCAGTAAAGAGCCAGAAGTGGATGTATAGCTCAAATGGTAGAGTGTCTGCCTTAGTAAAAAAGCCAAGTGAGAGCATGTGGCCCTGAATTCAAGCCCCAGTATTGATACACACCAAAAAGAGGGTTGGGAATCTGGCTCAGTGGTAGAGTGCTTGCCTAACATGCATGAAGTGCTGGGTTCAATTCCTCAGTACCACATACACAGAAGAAGCCAGAAGTGATACTGTGGCTCAAGTGGTAGAGTGCTAACCTTGAGCAAAAGAAGCTCAGGGACAGTACTGAGGCCCTGAGTTCAAGCCCCAGGACTGGCAAAAAGAAAAGGAAGGAAGGAAGGAAGGAAAAAAGAGAGAGAGAAAGGAAGGAAGGAAGGAAGGAAGATAAAAATGAAGGAAGGAAAGAAGAAAGAAGAGAAAGAAAAAATTTTTCATTTTTCTTTTCCATATTTTATATTATTGGTCATTGCACCTAGGCCCTCTCATGTGCTAGACCCCTTGTATAGCACGATGGTCCACTTGAGCCACACCTCTAGCCCTCTTGTTTGTGTTTGCTTCTGAGAAAGAGTTTCATTAACTTTGCCCAGAACGGCTTTGAAATCTCGATCTTCCTGCCTTTGCCCCTGAATACCAGGGATTACATGCGTACACCACCATGCTCAGCCTACACAGCTTTTTTTTTTTTCACACAGCTATTTTTGACTGATTCTTAACATCTACAGAAAGCTATTACTTTAATTTAGAGTCCATGAAGGTGATGATTATTCGTCTCCATGTGACAAAACTGAGGCCCAAAGAATCTTAACTGATTAGGACCAGGCTCCCACTGTTTAGAACTGGACTCTAGGGCTGGACTCTGTGGTTCTGACTCGGGCTCCACAGTAGAGCGGCCTACTGAGCTGAGTCTCAGTGCCCTGATGGGGGCCCCACCCCTTTGTAAAGTAGGGGTGGGTGTCAGGTTTGAATGACTCAACACATCAAAAGGACTCAGAGTCTGTGCCAGGAAGTGTGAGCAGTTATTATGGACCCCATGAGCCCTCCTCTCAGGCTGCAGTTCATACCCCACTCCCTCTCCTCTGCCTCTGCCTGCTCAGCAGGTGTCAGGCTCTGAGTCCCTAATAGACTTTCCTCTGGAGGAAATGGTCAGGCCAGGAGGAGGCCTTCCTGGCCTCCAGAGTGGCCTCGGGGGCCTGATGCCCATCTGGCTCCCACAGCAAGAAGCTTTGTACATGAAGGGCCGAGAGCTGACCCCCCAGCTGTCCCAGAGCAGCGTCCTGTCCCTTGCCGACTCCCACACGGAGTTCTTTGATGCCTGCGAGGTTCTGCTTTCCGCCAGCTCTTCAGAGAATGAGGTGAGGGAGGAGGAAGCTGGCAGGGAGCGGGGAAGCACTTCGGGAAGATCCAGGTGGGCTCAGAGAGACTCTGTGACTTTGCACAGAAATCTCTGCTGGGGACTCATCTTCCAGTTCACTGTGTCTGCCCCACTGGGTTCTTGGAAACAACTTCATGTCTACCTCTAGTCATCTTCCCATGACCCCATTTCACCTCCATGCTTCTTAATCCTCTTGCCCTAAACCCTGTATCTCAGCAGCCCTCTCCCCGCCCCCACCCCGCCAACTTCCTTTCCTTTGGTGTCATGCCAGTTTTCCGAGTTCCCTCATTTTAGTTGAGTTCTAGGTCCTCTCCTAGGAGGCCGGGCATATTCTACCATGTTAGACCTCCCAGGGGAATGTTCTCGGGCTCTTTCTCTTTCCCTTCCTCCCAAAGGGCTAGCTGGGCACATTCTTGCTAGGCCCTGAGCACTGCTCAGCTGCCTGGGGAGACCTAGTCTGCCCAGTTTGTCATATGTTCTGGCCCAGGGCTCCGAGGAAGAAGAGTCGTGCACCAGTGAAATCACTACCAGCCTGTCTGAGGAGGTGCTGGACCTCAGGGGAGCTGACTGCTACCAGAAAGGTACCAGCTGGGGGTGTGGGCATGGGACAAGAAGGTCTGGAAGTGGGGAGATGGAGAAACTGTATCTATCCAGGGCCCATACAGAGAACGTCCCTCTGGTGACTAGAGGGCTAATGGTTTTGGATGTTGACCCCAGAGGTGACACCAGAGCCATGAGCTAAGGAATGTTTTAGGAGCAGCTTTGAGAAGTAGGCTAGATTTAGGCCTGGTCTGGCCTTTGTCCCATTAGGCAAGAATACTTAAATAGGGCTTGACAGAAAAGGAGATGATTCCACAGGGACTGAAAAATAGACAAAAGGCCCTTCTTGGCCAGTTTTTAGCAGAGTGGCTTAGAGCCTCTAATGTTACTTTTTCCTCTTCTACAAAAGAGGCAGAATAATCTACATCTTCTGTGTGTAGTACTGGGGTTTGAACTCAGGGCCTAGCACTTCCCCCGCCCCCCCATCGTGGGGCTTGAACTCTGGGCCTGGGCACTGTCCCTTAAGCTCTTCAGCTCAAGGCGAGTGCTCTACCACTTGAGCCACAGCACCACTTCTGGTTTGCTGGTAGTGAATTGGAGATAAGAATGTCATGGACTTTCCTGCCCAGAGTCGGCTTTGAACCACAATCTTCAGATCTCAGCCTCCTGAGTAACTAGGATTACAAGTGTGAGCCACTGGCACCCAGTGCCCGGCGCCTAGTGCTTTTGCTTCAGTTGTTCCACTCAAGCCCAGTACTCTACCCCTTGAACCACACCTCTACTTCTAACTTTTTGCTAGTTAACTGAAGATAAGACTCTCTTGGATTTGTCTGCCTGGGCTGACTCTGAGCTGAAATCCTCAGATCTCAACCTCCTGAGTAGCTAGGATTATAGGCATGAACTACTAGTACATGATTAATAATCAACCTCTTGTTGTGTCTTCTGTTTATAAGGAGATCGGAGGTGAGGAGAGGGGACTCTGGGGACTTCTAAGACATTGTCCATAGCAAGGGACCTAGCTTTTCAACAGCTAGATCATCAGTTATCCCACCCACAGTGGGCAGAAAAGGGCCCTGGGCATTGGCATATCCACCAGCACAGACAGGGGCCTGCTAGGTCTGGAATGCCAGTATCCATGGGAGACTGACATGGTGGTGTTGGCCCCAGGGGCATGTGTTCCAGGGAGAGCATCCGGGCCTCCCCGCCGCCGCTGCCTGCCAGCTGCCAGTGGGCCTGGGGTGGATGTGAGCCTGTGGAACATCCTGCGTAACAACATTGGGAAAGACCTGTCCAAGGTGTCGATGCCCGTGCAGCTCAACGAGCCACTCAACACGTTGCAGCGGCTCTGCGAGGAGCTGGAGTACAGCAGCCTGCTGGACCAGGCCAGCCGCGTGGCTGACCCTTGCGAGCGCATGGTACCTCCCCAAGGCTCTTCCTTGTCTACCCCCCACCCCATCTCCTGGAGTCCTGTTTCTCAAATCCTTGTCTCCCAAAGTCCTGTCTGGGAAGATCCTTGTGCTTGGAGTTCCTCATCCAGACCCCAGGCTTTGCTTATGATGGGCTGGTATCCCCTTTCCAAGACCCCCTCTCTCAGCTCCTTATCCCCATGGCATTATCCCTACCCTTCCTGCAGGTGTATATAGCAGCCTTTGCTGTTTCTGCCTACTCCTCCACGTACCACCGGGCAGGCTGCAAGCCCTTCAACCCTGTCCTGGGGGAGACATATGAGTGTGAGCGGCCAGACAGAGGCTTCCGCTTCATCAGCGAGCAGGTGTAGTCCCTAGGGTGGGAGGGCTGGCCTCCAGGGCTGGGGCAGGGGAGGATCTGGGTTTCAGGGACCTCAGGATAGATAAGTAGCACCACCAAGGCTTGAAGAAGAGCATGGTGCAGGGAGCCTGTGCCAGGCCCAGTGGCATATGAAAAAGATGGAGGTCTCTGCTCCCTGTGGGAAGGTGGCTGGAACAGGTATAAGGGAGGATCCACTCAGGAAGGCGCATTCTAGGAGGTGATCTCAATCCAGGTCTTGAAGGATGAGTGGGAGAAAGCCAGGGAGTAGAGGAATTTGGGGAACTGGGGTGTGCCAGACAGTGTGAAAGATAAGGTGGAGAGATTAAGAAGGTTAAAGAGGGCTGGGAATGTGGCTTAGTGGTTGAATGCTTGCCTAGAATGCATGAAACCCTGGGTTCGATTCCTCAGTACTGCATACACAGAAAAAGCTAGAAGTGGTGCTGTGGCTCAAGTGGTAGATCACTAACCTTAGGCAAAAAAAAAAAAAAGAAGCTGAGGGACAGTGCCCAGGCCCTGAGGTCAAGCCCCAGGAATAGCAAAAAAAAAAAAAAAAAAAGGTTAAAGATGGAGCTGGAAGGCAAGGAAGGCTCAATCCTGAGGAGCCTTGTAGGAGAAAGTGAGCAGCATTCTGGGGTTCTGTTTATTTTTAATACTGAAGGCAGTGGGAAGGCAGGCAGGATTGGGAGGCAGGATTGGCCCTTTGCCAGACACCATGGTATGTGTGGAGAGTTTGTTCCAAAGCTACTTCTCATGGGAGACACGCCTGAAACAGATCTAGAGGGTGATCCAGCAGTGTAGGGATGGGAAAATGGTCAGTGGAAAGGAGTTTGGAGGAATTCAGTTGGCATGTGGAAGTGCTGGTTATCAGGATGGAAACTGAGTTAGCGAGACATGCTGCCATAGAGACTAGACTTCCACAGGAGATGTCAAGTTTGGCTCTGAGGTCAGGGGCCTGGAGCTGTATGGAGCTCTAGCAGATCTGGGAGTGGTCAGTGTAGAGGGTTGGCAATGTCATCAGAGACTCCCTCTGGGGTATGTCTGAGCAAGAGGGCAAATGGTCTGTGGTCTGGGAGTATCAGCTGTGGTTTTGTTGTTGTTGTTATTATTATTGCCAGTCCTAGGACTTGAACTCAAAGCCTGGGTGCTGTCCCTGAGCTTCTTTTGCTCAAGCCTAGCATTTTATCACTTGAGCCACAGCTCCACTTCTGGCTTTTTGATAATTTATTGGAGACAAGAATATCATGGATCTTCCTGCCCCAGCTGGCTTTGAACTGTCATCCTCAGATCTCAGCCTCTGAATAGCTAGCATTACAGGTGTGAGCCACTGCTGCCCAGCTAGGTGTTTGGGGGCTTTTTGTTGTTTTTGTTGTGTGTGTGTGTGTGTGTGTGTGTATGTGTGTGTGTGTGTGTCTGCCTGTCTGTCTATCTGTCTGTCTGTCTGTCTATTCATTTGTCCATCCATCCAGTATCAGGGCTATAACTCAGAGCCTTTAGCTCTTGCTTGGCTTTTTTGCTGAAGGCTGGTACTCCACCACTTGAGCCATACCTTCACTTCTGGCTTTTATACTAGTTAATTGGAGATAAGAGTTTCTTGGGTTTGTCTGCCTGAGGCTGGCTTTGAATTTTAGTCCTCAGATTTCAGCCTCCTGAGTAGATAGGATACAGGAATGAGCCACCAATGCCAGCAGGATTTGTGAGAAGATGGTAACAATGTGAAATAGTACAACTGAGTAGACAGTAGGAAACAAGCCTCTCCTAGCAGAGATGTGCAGGTCTAGAAAGGGGAGACTTGCTCATTGAGATGAGAGGACAGGACTGATGGAGCAGAAAAGGGAGAGGATCAGGAGGGCTGAGAAGCTGTAGAGGAATGAGTGGGGTATGGCATTCAGAGGCCTTACCTACCCTCTGTTCTCCTTTGGCATGGGGACAAAGGTTAAAGAGACTAGCTTGGGTCCAAGCCCTTGTAGGATTGATGGGAGCAGGGCTGCCAAGGACCCAGAAGTACAGCAATGTGGAATTGGAAGTTTCTCTCTATGTGTCAGGGGAAAGATTGGAGCCAGCAGTGCACAGAGGAGTCTGTGCCTGCATTTCTGGAGAGTGGTGGGAGCAGGTCGCCGGGGGTCTTAGGGGAGAGAATAGAAGGGAATCTAGGGTGGGGTTGGCAGACCAGGAGAAAGTAAAATGGTTTGGGAGGACAGTGTTATGGGGGACAGGGAACAGGGAGAGGAGGGAGGAGGGAGGGCTGCGGGATGTTAGAGTTGAAGGTCACAATGGAGCCATTCCAAGTGAGGACAAGGCCAAGTGTTTGCAAGAGTGTGGGGCGGAGCCAGCTGATATGATCAGCTTTCAGCAGAGATTGGGAGAGAAGATGGTCCTCAGGGGAAGGGCTGGGTTTCAGGCAGGGCACAAGGTAGAGGCCATTGGCACTGCTGGGGGAACTATCTAGGTCTGAGCAGGGCTGTTCAAGGGCATCATTGGCAGGGCTATAGGAGGCCTCTGAGAGGAGCAGGCAAGAGCAAGAACAGAGGGCCTTGTGGAGAGAAGAGAGGATATAGATTTGGATGGTGGCCAAGGATGATAAGGGGACAGGGGACCTGGAACTGACTGGTCTGGTTCCCAGGGAACTGGGGTGGGGGCAGGGAGCTTTGGGAAGCCCCCCAATGCCCAGTGAAGACCCCAGGCTTCCTAGGGACAGCCTCAAAAGAACTTCTTTGCTCACCAAGGTCTCCCACCACCCTCCCATCTCGGCATGCCACGCAGAGTCGGACAACTTCATCTTTTGGCAAGGTGAGGGGGTGGATCTAGGGGGAGATGGGGCAGGGATAAAGGACAGCCAGGAAGTGGCTGGGACACCCTCTGAGTTTATCTCTGCTGTTTCCTCTCCCAACCCAACTCCAGACATGAAGTGGAAGAACAAGTTCTGGGGCAAATCCCTAGAGATTGTGCCAGTGGGGACAGTCAATGTCAGCCTGCCCAGGTGAGTACCGGAAACTCCCAACCACCAAGCCAACACCAGGGCTGCTCATGGGGGCCTGGGCTCCTGAAGCTGCTGGAACTGCTGGCAATGTGTATACATTTTACACCTGCGTTTGCAGCAGCTGTGATAAAGAAAGGTGAGAAGCCTCAGAGCAGTAAAGATGGAGGGGCTCGATGAATTCTAATTTGGTGTCTTGCATAGTTTTGACCATGATTCACACTAACGCTGCACTTCACACACACACACACACACACACACATACACACACACACCTAAACTGATGACAGGTCACAACCACATTTGAAAGAAACAAAACTCTCATCTAAGCTCATTCTGCAGGGGTTGGAGGCATAGCTCAGTTGGTAGAGCACTTGCCAATGAGCCAAACAGCAGGTACCTAGTTCGAGTCCCAATCTCCCACCTTAAAAAAATAAAAAAAAGCTCATTCTACAGGTGGGTAACTGAAGCCAGAGAAGAAAGGAGGTTCCTTCAGACTGGCAGGGACCTTTCATAAATTCATCTTTATTTCTTTTTTTTTTTCCTGCCAATACTGGGGCTTGAACTTAGGGCCTCATGCTTGTTTGCTTTCCTTCCTTCCTTCTTTCCTTTCTTCCTTCCTTCCTTCTTTCTTTCTTTCTTTTTTCTTTCTTTCTTTCTTCAGCTCAAGGCTACTACTCTACCACTTGAGCCACAGTGCCACTTCTGGTTTTCTGGTTGTTTATTGGAGATAAGAGTCTCACAGACTTTCCTGCCCAGGTTCACTTTGAACCATGATCCTCAGATCTCAGCCTCCTAAGTAGCTAGGATTACAGGCGTGAGCCACTGGCGCCTGGCAAGGGCCTCATGCTTTGGTTTGGCTTTTTCCTTCAAAGTTGTTTCTCTACTACTTGAGCCACACTTCCACTTCTGCCTTTTTGGTGGTTGATTGAAGATAGGAATCTCATGGCCTTTCCAGCCTGGGCCAGCTTCCAACCAAGATTCTCAGATATCAGCCTTCTGAGTAGTTAGGATTATAGGCATGAGCCACCAGTGCCTGGCTTTTACCTCCATCTCTCTTGCGTGTTTTGTAAGAGACTTGTTCATTCCGTGCACTATGGGAAAGTGATTGAGTCCTCCCTCACCTTCCCCAGAGCCACGTGACCTGTACCAATGAGACAGGCATCCTTCCACCCTCTACCACTTGTTCCCTAGGGCCTGCCACTACCCTCCCGTGCCCTGTCTCTCTCAGGTTTGGGGATCACTTTGAATGGAACAAGGTGACGTCCTGCATTCACAACATCCTGAGTGGCCAGCGCTGGATAGAGCACTACGGGGAGGTGCTCATCCGGAACACACAGGACAGCTCCTGCCACTGCAAGATCACTTTCTGCAAGGTAGGCGTGGCCTATCCTACCACACCCGCCCACTCCCAGCAGCCTCTGCCTCTCCAGGGCCCAGAGAACCTACTTCAGGCCCTGCCTTTTCCATCCCAGGCCAAGTACTGGAGTTCCAACGTCCATGAGGTCCAGGGTGCCGTGCTGAGCCGCAGTGGCCGTGTCCTCCACCGACTCTTTGGGAAGTGGAATGAGGGGCTTTATCGGGGTCCCCCACCAGGGGGCCAGTGCATCTGGAAACCCAGTAAGTAGGGTAATCAGGGAAAGCTGGGCAGGGTGAGGGGGAACTGTGGCCCAGGACCCCTGCCCCAGTCCTTTACCTCCCCCCCAGACTCCATGCCCCCAGACCACGAGCGCAACTTCGGCTTCACTCAGTTTGCCTTGGAGCTGAATGAGCTGACAGCAGAGCTGAAGCGGACCTTGCCATCCACAGATACTAGGCTGCGTCCTGACCAGAGGTCAGTGCCCCAACCCAGGTACCCCTAGGCCCATTGCCCAAGCCCCAATGCCTCCGCAAGAAGGTCTCTTCTTGTAGGTCTTGCGCAGAGCCTGGATCTGATGCTAGTAAACCACCCCAGAGACAGAGCCAGGCAGGGGAAAGAAGCTTTGATTTGGGGCGGGGGGGGGGGGAGAGACCCACTGACTGGGATCTGGATCTTCAGGTACCTGGAGGAAGGGAATATACAAGCTGCTGAGGCCCAGAAGCGAAGGATTGAGCAGCTGCAGCGAGACAGAAGGAGAGTCATGGAGGAGAACAACATCGTCCACCAGGCTCGCTTCTTCAGGTGCCCAACCTTGCCTTCTACTCTGTCCCTCCTCAGCCCAGGCCTTTCCCTTAGCCCCTTCCACTTGGAGTGGGCTCACCATGGGAGGGCAGTCTCCAGGGCCCAGCCTGCATTCTGCTTTCCCCTGCCCACACCCACCCTCTTCCCCCAGGCGGCAGACAGACAGCAGCGGCAAGGAGTGGTGGGTCACTAACCACACATACTGGAGGCTGCGCGCCGAGCCCGGCTACGGGAACCTGGATGGAGCTGTGCTTTGGTAGCCCTGGCCCTGGGGCAGGAGGCTCAGGGCCTGCTCTCCTCCTGTCCCTACCTCTCCCACGGACACATGGATGAGGCCAGGCTCCCCCCCTCAGGCAGCCCTGGCTCCAGCCCTCTCCCCTCTGCTGGCCAGAGGGGCTGCAGCTTAGCTCACCCCCACTGCACAGTTGGGGTTGGAGTCAGAGTCTGTTTCTCCAGTCTTGTTGCTCCAACAACTGGCATGTGAGCCCCTTCTTGCTCTGCCATTCCCCTTTCTATCCCCCCTAGGGATGCTTGGGGATGCTAGGCTCCTCAGTTCCCCATTTCAGTGCCTTCCTAGGACACAGGGGACCCCTTGATGATCCCCAGGCTTTTTGTCGCCAGGGCACTGGCCCCACTGTGAGAGGTTCAAGTAAGTGAAGGAAATGGGATGGCCTCTTCTCCCACTTGCCCCATTTCCAGTTTCTGCTCCTCTGCCCCAGTCCAGCAGGTCTTTCTCCAGCTCCCTTTCGCTGGTCCCTGGCCTCCTTCCCCTGCTGCATCCCTTTCCTCCCCAACTACAAAGCTCCGGCAGACTCCTGCTCCCTTGTTCCTCATCCTCCTGTGGATCCTCCCATCTCAGCTCAGCAGATGCCCCGAAGTGGACAAGGCCTCTGCCAAAGGTGGAGATGCCTGGCCTCAGGCCCACAGGGAAGGAAGTGTGCAGGCATGAGTGTAAAGTCAGTAGGAGTGTGTGTGTGTGTGTGTGTGTGTGTGTGTGTGTGTGTGTCCTGCTTGCAGGCAAGCAGGATTCTTCAATGTAGCCTGGGCATCCCACTGGATGTCCACCATCATTGCTGCTCATTTGCTCAGTTTGCCTCTGAGTCAGGTGAATTGCTGTGACATTCCAAGCTCCAATAAAAACTGATCCAGACATTGGCCTCTGACCTCATTGAAAAAAAATTATGCTCCACAGAAGGTCCATAGCCTTGACTCATCCTCCATTAAAATATACACTCTTGGGGCTGGGAAGGTGGCTCAGTGGTAGAGCGCTTGCCTTGCATGCCTGAGGCCCTGGGTTCGATTCCTCAGCACCACATAAGCAGAAAAGAAAAAAAAGCCAGAAGTGGCACTGTGGCTCAAGTGGTAGAGTGCTAGCCTTGAGCTCTTCACCTTGAGGTGAAGAGCTGAGGGACAGTGCCCAGAGTTCAGGCCCATGACCAAAAAAAACAAAAACAAAGTATATCCTCTTAACCCCTTAGCCCTGGGAATGAGGTGCCTTATTTGGAAATAGGGTCTTTTCAAATAAAGTGAAATGTTAAGAGTCATAAGGGATTAGGGTAGCCCCTAATTCAGTGACTATTTCTGTATAAGAAGAGAAAATTGGGGGCTGGGAAGGTGGTAGAGCGCTCAGTGGTAGAGCGCTTGCCTTGCATGCATGAGGCCCTGGGTTCGATTCCTCAGCACCACATAAGCAAAAAGAAAATAAGCCAGAAGTGGCTCTGTGGCTCAAGTGTTAGAGTGCTAGCCTTGAGCTGAATTGCTGAGGGACAGC